TGCTCCGCGCCGGGCGCTGCGGTGCCGCGGCCGCCCCCGTCCCCCCTCCCCATCCTCCTCCTCCTCCCTCCCTCCCTGCGGGGCACGGGAGCCGGTGACGGGAGCGAGGCGGAGTCTGGAGGGAAGACACGGAGAGATCGCGATTTAAATCACATCCCCGGCCCTCGCAGGGCAGCAGCAGCAGCAGCCGCAGCCCCGGCGCAAGAGGCAACGGACCGCGCGCTCCCCGACACGTCCTGCCGGCCCCGCCGCCGCCGCCGCCGCTGCTGCTGCTGCTCGCCATGGGCGCCGCCGCCGCAGAGCCGCCCCGGCCCGCCGGGCTCGTCTCCAGCGTCCTCAACGACACCCTCGAGTTCTACCGCTGGACCTGGAGCATCCGAGGTAACGCGGAGCCGCCGCCATGCCGGGGCCGCCCGCGCCCCCCGCGCGGACGCGCAGCGGTCAAAATGGCTCCGTTGCCCGGGAGACGCGGGGGGGGGGGGCGGACGGGGCGACCTGGGCCGGGACCGGGATTGGGATTGGGATTGGGATTGGGGGGGGCCCTCGGCACCCGCTGCAGCCCGGAGCGGCGCCGGGGAACCCGTCGTGACGTTATTCTGTTTTATTCCGTTTTATTCCAGCTCATTCCCTTTTATTCCGTTTTATTCCAATTCATTCCCTTTTATCCTGTTTTATTCCAGTTTATGCTTTTCCACCCCGTATCGTGGCCCTTGCCACGGGGCGGGCGATGAGGGCATCCCTGCCCTGCAGAGCCGTGGCTCCCTCCGCTGCCTCCATGGCCCTGCACCGCAGGGAGGGATGGAGGGCGGCAGGGAGGGATGGAGGCAGGGATGGATGGAGGGATGGCCCGGCGTTTTGTGCCTCCAGCCTTGGCTAAGCAGCGAAATCACATTCATGGAGCGTTACCCGCTGCGTGAGCGGTGCCTGGGGCTGCTGGCGGCCGCGGCTCCGCTTGGATCCGCTCGGGATGCGCTGCCCGCGGGGACGGCCTGGGCCCGCCGGCGGCAGCGGCGCCTACGCGCTGCAGGTTGGCGGCCGGCGCAAGGATCCGAGCCGCTCGAGGCCGAGCAGAAGCTTTTAGCCGTGCATGAAGCGCCCCTGGGCTCCTCTGGTGCTTTTCCCATCTCCCCGTGACCCACTTCTGTCCCGGCAACCCGTAATCGCAGGGCAGGGGTTGCGGAAGGGGCGGAAAATGCCTTGTAAGTGAGGAGGAACGCAGGGAGCAGCTTTCAGGACTGGGACAGCAGACCGGGCGGCCCTTGGCTCTGGCGTGTGGCGCTCGCACAGAGGCTCGAGCCCTTGGCGTGATAGCACCGCRGCACTTTCCTCGTTTTATAGTTGTCTGCGTTAGTGCCGAGGTCGGGAACCACTGTGGTTAAAGCTGGAAATACATGGAGAAAATTCTGGAGTGAATGTAGGTCCGTAGGTACTTTGTGATAACTGAAAATACGGGGCTTTGGCTAGAGATGCTGGAAGCTCCCTACTGCATCAGCACTCTTTCCTTTTCYGCCCCCCTCCCTCATGCCATCTGTTAGATAATAAATTAACCTTATGTTACAGGTGCCGGGAGCACATTTTTGCCTGTTCTGCATTCCCAGCCTTTCTTACAATTTTATTTTTTTGACGTATCCCAAGAGCGATATTAAACTTGCACGCGTGCTTTTCTCCCGCACCTCAAACGCGCCTGCGGATGAGATCAGAGGAAAATGCTGCAGCAGCACTTCGGCGTAATCCGCCGGGGTTGCTCTCTTGCTCCACACAACTGTTCATAGATTACCAGGTAATGCACGGAAGGAATGCCCTTCTAGCTGCTCAGTAGCATTTTAGGATGCGTGTAAAAATAGATGTAGGTACGAAACGTTCTCACAGATTTCTGGCTTTGTTTGTAAAAGGCTTTAATTGCTGGTGTTTTTCCTGGATGCTGAACATGTTCTTTAAGTTTGTGTACGGGCTACGCTTGCCGTAAGCAACGGTGACGCGCTCCAAATGGATAAAAATGGCAATCTGAGCAAGYGATGGCAAGATAAGTAACTTAGGTGAGTGCCACACAAAGAGGAAACTACCCCTTTGGAGAATCTTGAGCAGTGCAGGGATGCCATTGTGATGACATCTAAAATTTGCTCAAGTCTCTTCCTAATTATAGTAGAGGAAGGAAGCTTTTCCTAATTATAGGAAACTGAGTTCAGTAGTGTTGCTGTAACATGGGATTCCACAATAATGAAGTTTATCAGTTGCATTTTGCATGAAGGGTTGTGAGATCTTGTTCAGGCTCTGGATTTTGGTGGTTCCCTGCAAGTGTATATTTGGATAGGAGCTAAGGTGTGTCATAATCGTGTTACTTGTGTACTCAGTAGTGGGTAAAGTTCCTCTTAATTGTCTTGTAGTTCTTAGAGAAATGTGGAACATGTAATATCACACAATGTAGTAACAATATACACTAGATAAGAAAGTGTCATGATGAGGCAATGTTGCATTATTGTATAATGAAATAACATCTTAGTATCCTAAGTTCTGGTGCCATTTAAATACATACTCAGTTTGCTGCTTTTCAATATGTTTTCACTCGGGGAAAATAAATCAAGAATTGTCTCCCTTTGCCACCTGTAAGTGAATCCGTGTTGAAATCATGAATTCACAGCTGTTGTGTGAATTCACACAATTCACCTTTGTGTCAAAAACTGCAGCAGTGATGTTGCTCAACAAACAACATAAATTATGGCATGCAAGACCATTGCCTAACGTTCAATATCATTAAATATAAAACTATACCACGCAGCAAAGTTGCTCAACAAATGATGCCATGCAATAGCGTTACACAATAAATAGTGAAACACTACTACACAGCAAAATTACACAATAAAATATGAAGAAACTTGATTCCCAGTCCTACTCCTACACAGAGATTGCCCATTCATATAAAATCAGAGTTACTTATTCTCTCTGGTTCCCACTTCCATGTTGTACTGGACACCTAGCTCTGTCTTAACTCTGTTCTGAGTGTTCAGCTGGACCTTCCTGCCAGCAGGATCTGTAGCCCTCGATTCCCTTGATGGGGCTGTGCAGAACTGCAGCACATGTCCTACCGAGTCCTGTGCCACGTTATTTCAGTACTATTTGATATTTCAATTTGGCCTTTCTTTTCCCCTCTGTATTGTACTATTTAAATATCAGCCATCCCTTTCTAAAAATTTTTTTTTCAAGTGTATATGATGACTCCAATTGATTTTTTTTTTTGAATGATATTTCAAATTTTAGCATTAAATACATTATCCAAAGTAATTGGGTCTTGGGCAAAAAAATCTTTCATTTAAAGACTATTTGAGAATAATAACAATATCCYGACTCCCTTCTGCCCATATATATTACCCAGAACTGTATTTTCAGTCTTAGCAGTGTTTAATGGTTTTTCCTGTTAATTTGTTGAAACACTACTTTTCTCCCATTCTTTGACAAACATTTTTTTTTCCTCCTTTCTGTAAAAGCCATAAAATCCACTGCAATCAGGTATTCCTGAGGAATCCGAAGGAGAGCGTTTAGGAAGCCCTAAACTTGAAAGAAAGTTTGGAAAGRGGGAAGACACATTCTTGGCAGTCATCAAGGGAGGAGATGATGTTCGGAGGGCCGGTTTGTATCGGGGAAGGTGATCTAGGAATTTTGTGCCTTTATTTCTGCGCAGGCTTGGGACCAGTAGCATGTGCAATAGGCAGGGCAGGGCTCCCTTCTCCCTGTCAGCTCAGATAGGTGTTTGGGCTTAGWTTTGCCAGGAAGGATTAAGGGTATGATTAGATGACTGAACAAGTGACTTAAAGGGAGGTTCCAGGCTGAAGCAGAGAGAACTATTAAGGTGAATAATTCAGGACGCAGACCAGGAAAGAGGAATGTGAAAATACCAATTGTGAAGAGTCTACAAACATGCGTGAAAGGGCAGTGGAAATTGTGGTCAGAAAAGGAGGCTGGTGAAACCCTGAGTCCAAAATGCCACTTTTGGAGGAGCTGAATAATTTGAGTGTGTTGAGCTGAACAATGGAGGGAATTACAGACTTTGGGCAAGATGATTGTCCTTGGAGCTCAGAACTGAAGGGAGGCAGGGCCATCCCAGGCCACGTGGGATTGCTTTGGAACAGCACCTATTTACAGCTGTTGCACTTAATAGGATTATGGACTCTTTCCATAGAGAAGAAAGGAGAGAGCAGAAAGATGCAAACTTTCACTTTAGTGGTAGGACAGTCTTCCAAGTTCCTCTTCAAAACATCTTGTTCAGGGGAGGTATCAGCTGTAGCTTTTGTCAGCTGGACTAGAAGTTAAAGTCAATGAGGATGGCGAAGGCAGGGGAACGTTTGCAGCTGCTTGTCTTGAAAGTGGTCGAGTGAAGCAGCTTCAATGGGAACTCAAACTRATGCAAAAAATGTTGCCAGGAAAACTTTAGCCTGTAGTTTAAATGTACTGATGTTCAGTAAATTAAGACGTACCTTCCTTTCGGCCCAGGGAACAAAGAATCAGAAGAAAATGCATCTCCTTTTCCCTCATTCTTTTCCCATGCAAAACCCAAATATAGCTATAGGATTCTGAGTATCTGTGCTTTGGGGAAATCCATTGGGGTGATGAGCAGAGCAGTGGGATTCCCTGACTGTAAGTAGTAGCTTGTTGTATTTGAGATTTTGCACCAAGGCTGGGAGTCAGAAGAATCTTCATGGCAGGTCCTCTGAGGGTGGAGATGGGAAGAGAGAATGGAGAATGAGATAAAGATCCACGAAGCCTGTTTGACAGAAGAAACGAGAATGAGTTCCTAAGCTTTAGAAGGGCTCACTGAGCACCACACTGTGATTTGACACAATACTTGCTTTGCAGGTGTAACTTTTTTTTTTTTCTCAAAGAAACAGGTTTCATTAGATTGCAGAACTCAGAAGACATACACCTCAACAAAATAAATGCAGTCAGTTTTGCGTGAGGAAACATCAGTCAGAAAAACAGTTGTGAAGTGGAAATCTCTAAATGGAAGTTTGGGATCACCAAGCACCAAGATGTGGAGTCTGAGGGAGCAGCCTGAAGCAAAGCTGGCACTGAAAGAGAAACTGAGGTGTGAGAGAGAGAGACTTCTCCTTCCTGAAATGCAGGAGGAGCAGTTGTAGATAATCAGCCACAACTCTCAGCGTCAGTAATGAGATGAAATACAGCAAAACTCCTTTGCAGAAGATTAATGAGAACGTGATGCAAACTGCTGTTTGAGCGCACCAGCGTGCCCAGCAGCAAAGGAAAATGTGTGAATGGGGTGGCAGAAGGAAGAGATGGTCCTGAGGCCTGGACAGAAGAACATAACTGGAGTTATGAAGATTTCTGTAACACTGTGTATCTATAGTTTCGGAGGTTTTTTTCCTAGTCCT